ATGTACCTTCCTTGTGGATGTATACTGACATCTGAATGAGGACTGTAGAGCAGGCCATGGGGAGCCAGGGCACAGCCAGGGTAGAAAGGCTTTCCCACCGAAAGAAAGATACATTCTGGAAGGTGTGGTGATAGTATTTTATTATTTGTGCTTTAATAAATAAAGTTTGCCTGGAGATCAGAGGAAATAGCAGGCCATTTTAAGTAAACAAAGAAGTCAGGCAGTGGTAGCACATGCCCTTAATCCTATCACTTAGCAGGCAAGTTCTCTGTGTGTTCAGGGTCACACTAGGGAACAGAGCCAAGCGTGGTGACACACGCCTTTAATCCCAGTACCAAACCATAGAGACCTGGAGGTCTGTACAGACAGACAGAAAGTGACAGAGCTGTGTAGGAAGAGGAAGTGAGGTAGCTGTGCTAAGAGAGCCAATGAGAGGGCAGAACAGCAAGGCAATAAAGGCGTGGGTAGACAGGAAGTAACTCACATTTGGAAGCTACAGAGTTGGTGAGGTAAGGTTGGCTGTGGCTTTCCCTATTTCCCTGATCTAAGGCTTTCACCCTTATATTTGGCTCCCTGTTTTTTTATTAAATAAGACCATTTAGAAAATCGTCTACAGGCAGGGAGGGGGTATGAAACTGTAAAAGTATGGGAAGCAGTCTTTGAAAAGCCTACAGAAAAGTATGAGGTGTTTCCATATTTAATTCTATAACTAGTGAGTGTGGAATTGACCTCAGAGCTCTGAAGACAGACACAGCAGGTAGATCTGTGCATCAGGTTGCCTGAACCCGAGGCCCTCCACACACTCTCTGCTTCTGCACTTTTCATATCCATTCCTAAGACGACAGTCATAATCTGGAGCTAGCAGGGAGATAAGTGTTCTTCCGACATTACCTGTCCAGATACTGCTCTTGTCACTAAAAGTGCTGCTCACAATCTGGGTGAGTTTGATGGTGGCAGCACAAGTCCCTCACAACTACTTGTTCTGTTCCATGGTGACTGACACGTCAAGACTGAAGCCTGTATAGCCATACACCAGTGAGTCCCACTATCTTTAGTGAAAGGTAGCAGGACAGATGTGCAGAATGAATAATTCCTGTGAACCCTCTAGTCTACCACCATCTTGCCTCTTCTTGAGGTGATTATAGGATAACCCTAGCATAAGCACCATTTAGTGCCTCCGTGGTTTTAGGCCAGCTCTGTTGCCCCTCCCACACTCTCACAGTGCATCATCCCACTTCTGTGATGACTGTTTCCTGAGGTCCAGCTTAACAAAAACTCTGCTTTTGACTGCACTCTGCCTTGAATATCTACAAGTTTCTAAAGGAGTATGGCTCTATAAGGATCACTTCTCACTTGCTCTTTCAACCAAATGCTTTCTCTTCCTTACAATATTTTTGCCAAGTAGTAGGAGCCTCCTTGAACATCTTATCTAAGGAATTATTGGAGTCACAATGGAGTAAATGGTGACTGAATGAGAAACAGCATTTAAAGGACAAAGGTGACTGAAGGAACTGCTGGAGAACAAGGTAAGATAATGGTCATTGAGTGTTGGTGGCAGGTCAATCAGATGGTCAATAGGAAATCTTGGACAGAGCCTCATTTCTACCTCTGAATATGAAGGGAGTGTATCATATCATATCTCACAGCCATTCAAGTTCTGGAGCTGTGCCCTTTAGTCTTCTTTACCAAAACTGATTTCTGTTAAGCAAGCACAATGTTATAAGGGATCCATTCTCAGGTACAATGCTCTAAATACTGCAGTGAGTCAAAAGTGAGCCCAGCTGGTCAGGTCCCATCAACGGGTAAACACAGGTCAAGGAAAGGTAGGGGGCCTGGGTTTGGGTGCTGGCATATTCTCCCTGGTTTGAAAGTCTTCCAGAACGTATGCCATCTACATAGCAGGGAGGCTGAGGTCAGCCATTGGCATGGAAGCTTAGGGATGGCTAGGCATACTTCCTTCTTGAAATAATCACAGCTGCTCTCCTAAGATTTCTTAAGCAACAAAACTGAGACCCAAGTTAGTCACTGATGATGAATTTTACCCCAGTCAAGACAAGGAGGGAAGAAAAAAAATGTCACTTTTTATAATCAGAGCAGAAACCCAAGGAAAAGTTCTCTGGGTCAACAAATGATCAGAATCCCTTATCGTTTTATTGCATTTATCTATGTGTGCACATGCAGGCATGTGTCTGATGATCAGAAGAGAGCCTGCAAAAGTCGGTTCTTTCCTTTCCCTGTGTAGGTCTGGGGGATCATACTCAGGTCATCTGGCTTAGTGGTCAGTTCCTTTACCCACTGAGCATTCTCCCAGGCTCTCATTTTGACTTTTTAAAGGACTAATCTGCTAGTAAGCCATCTACACATTGTATATCCACCCTGTGATGTTTAATATCTACTCACAGCATGAACTCTAAACTCAACTGTTTTATGGGAAATGTCAGTCCATCAGCTCCTTTCTGGAAAACTCAAGTCAAAACTATATTAAAATATCCATTGCATCAGGGGCACTGGGAAATAAAAGAAGGTACAAAAGTTTAGTTGAGTGTTTTTTGTTTTATTTTTTTTTGTCTGTTATGTCATCTGAATACTGCCTTCATGTTGTGGAAAAACAAAAACACCTCACACAACTCCAGCCCTCTTGAAAACAAATGAAACGCACAGTCCAATACTGTGAACTACAGGCATGGTGCTGCACGGATCTCTCAGACTTACACATTTCATACTTCCTCGACTGCAAACCCATAGGCAGTGACTACTCTGGCCACCTACTCCCCGAGAGCTGCCATTTTGCTCTCTGCTTTTTAGTTTGGCCATTTTAGATGACCCATTTAAGAAGGACCAAATAGTATCTGTCCTTCTGTCATTAGTTATTTCACTTAGCATAACGCATTGAGTATTTTTTAGTTGCTTAATGAAACCTCAGCTGCTGAAAGCCTAAGGTCTGAAGATGTCTGGACTATTAACTATGATTAACTACAATATATTCACATATGACACAATGTCCCCAAACCACATGCTACTCTGTCCAAAGAATGTAGCTCTGATTTGGGAAAACGTTTGATGGTGCTAGTATAACCAGAGATCGTCTCCGAGCCACAAGTATGCCCTTCAGTTAGGTGGTTTCCTCTCATTTAAACAAGTAGTTAGAATGCATCACTTGCAAGAGTGTCCTGCACGGGTTTATCTCCCCACTAATTCTGAACTTGCCTGTAGTGTGTCACTGACTTGTAAGAAGAGCATGGAATGGAAGATTCCAGGAGTGCATTTAAAGTTAGAGACTGGGGCCGAGCAAGCAAAGGACGCAGCGTCAGCTCTCAAAGGGAGCTGAGGGCCAGGAAAGTCAGCGAGGCTGCATGAGCCAAGTACCCTGAAATGCATGCAGACCTGGCACTTAGCAAAGAAAACTGTTATACCAGGGGGTGCTTGGGAAAGAGGGCAGGGGAAATCCTGCATGGCAGTCTGGGTTGAGGAAAACGGTGAGGGCTAAAACACAAAAGTGACCCTTTCCACTTTCCAATTACTGCTTCGCATACAACAGTACTAAAACAGGAGCACTCAACAAAACAAAATGAACCTGGAATTCTTGAAGTGTCAAAATGGACAGCGATGAAGTTACCACCTTTTGTGTATTAAAAGTTCAAACACTGGGGCTGGAGAAATGGCTCAGTGGTTGAGAGCGAGTGTTACTCTTGTAGAGGACCAGGGTTTGGTTCCCAGCACCCACCCTATCACTCCAGCTCCAGGGAACCAGACATGACCTTGAGGGGACCCAGCATGTGCTAATATGACCTCACGCAGGTACCTACACATAAATAATAAATCTTTAAAAAACAATGTTCAAGTACTGTAAATTTCCTACGGACCAACCTAAAGTGTGGGTTTCTCACTGATTCAGTACGAAGAATAAAAACCCAAAGGCGTGCTAGTATTTTGTGGTTTCAGAGGAAGGTTTACTCAGGCAGATGAGTATTACTGAAGCAGACACAGGATTTAAATATTCTATGCCAAATTTATGTCTGAAGTCACACATAACTATGGCCAGTCCTTAACCCCTAAAACTAAAACCTCCAAGCAAAACCAGCCCTGTCTAACAGATGGTGCCTATCCTTAATAAAACTCTATCCCTAACAAGTGTCTCCATCCCTTGTGCTGAACCACGGAGCTTGGTTTCCAGAGTAAAACCTCAAAACTCCCCCATGCCCATATGCATCCCTTTGTCAATCTCTCACGGACCCATTTTCTCCTGCTTATGCCAGCCTTCCTCTCGACTGCTCCACTTTCTTCCAACCCTGGCACGGTAAGAATCCCATCTGTCCACCTCAAGTTCCCTCCACCCCCTTCCTTTTAATACCCCAGTGATCTAATCTCTCCGGCACAGACTGGGCGATCCTTCCCAGCCTTGGTACCCTGGTCTGTTCCTGTGGAGGATCTCTAGCTTTTTCAACATGCATGCTAGATTTCTTCCTATCACTGTCTGCCTTTGCTTCGCCTAGACCTCTGCGTCTTTCCCAAAGCTGATTTCACCTAGAAAGCCTCAATGGACAGAATTTAAACTTCATAAACTAGAATAATATAACTTACTGGGAAGTTGTAAATATCTTCAACTTAATATTGTAATGGTTTATAATTTATATTGTAGGTTTCTACACAAAGGGATATTTTCTGTTTAACACACAAAGTGGTGACAGTATTTCAGAGGCACTTTTAAAAATATTAACTTTCTGGACTTAGAAGGATGTCTGAATGAACTCCATCAGGTTGTTAAATACTAGGGGCATAATTTAGAAGAAAAACGTTGTCCCATGTGCCTTCTAAAGGTTTTGAAAATGGTTTCTCACTTGCATTTTATTGGAGTCAATCATTTTTAGTCTTTTTTTTTTTCTCTAAGTGTACTGGGAACCTATTTGGCGATACCATCAGCAGACAGAGAGAAAACTGCAGTGTTCTGAAGAACCTCCATCACTACCTTAAGCCAAACCACCCACCCTGTATTTACATACCTTGAGTTTGCTATTTCCACCTTGGTTCTGGCCATGGCGGCGGCCCTTTGTGCGCCTTCAATCGCTCTATCCACCTTCTCCCTAGTTTTTGTATTTCTTATTGGTATAAGCTGCTTCCTTATTCCACGGACTAGGATATTATTTTTGTATTTTCCCTCTTCCTTGGAGCCATCGGGAAACACGGTGCAGCCGTACCCATGCCTCTTGTTATTGGCCCACTCGCCTTCGTACTTCATGCCATTGGAGCGCTCGCTGACGCCGAAGCCATTGCGCTTATCATTCTTCCACTCGCCCATGTAGGTTTCCGTGGTGGTGGCATCCACATGATCTTCCACAGGGCAAAAATCACAGTCGACGTCACCGAAGCTGATGGTGGAGTTGGCATCACTGGAACTGATTCTGCTCATGGCTGCATCGCTGCGGACCGAGCTGCGCTTGCTGGAGATGGAAGACTTGGACTCAGACTTGCGGAGTTTCATGCTGCCAAGGAGGGAGCCCCGTCGAAAGAGGCCGCCCTTCTTCTTGCCCAGCTCCGTGTCCGCGTGGAAGTTGAGCACGAAGCCGCCTCTGGTGCCAGCTGGGTTGTCTGCAGCAGCGGCGGCAGCATCGTGCAGAACGCTACCATTGCTCTGCTCACTGCGCAGGGAGGCCAGCGAGGTGCGTAGCGGGGAGCGGATCACCGTGGCCATGCCGTATGGCACGCTCTGGCGCACGCCGTAGCCATGCCGCATGCCTCCAGCCCACTGGCCCTGGTAGGTACCTTCGAGAGAGCAGATCGGCAGAGTGTATGAGTTTTGGGGGAGGGCATCTGGCCACCGAGAGAACATACCCCGGGCAGGAAGGGCCAGGGTCAAATTCAACACACTTCTTGGGGCAACCCTGGTAACACTTTTCATCCACCTGTGAATGTCTACCTGGTGGCTTTGATGTATAAACTTTTCTGATAGTCAGACTTCTGTTTTTCATTTAAAAATTTTATGAGTGGTAGGCATGCAAAGAAACCACTGTTTGGTGTGCGCATTTCTCTGGAAATTGAACCTAAGACCTTATACATACTAGGCTAATTCTCCATCAGAGAGCTACACACTCAGAGCCATGAACCATATTGCTCCTAATACAAAAAAAGTGATCATTGGGAATCACCTTTCCCTCCTGAAAGCATCAAAGATCTTAGTGAGGCAGTGTCACAGCAGAAAAAAAAAATGTATTCTAGTCATGGTTTCAAATGCAGTTTCACTAATCTAGCTGAAAAATGGCCTGGAGATCTATGCCCACTCTAAAGCACCAAGATTTAACGTTAGTAACCGTGATCGGAATACTTGGGGCATGGGTTGTCTAACAAGCTGTCTTGGTTTTTCTACTACGTGAAACATCCTACGCTCAGGGAAGGGCAAGCTGTTGAGTCCTGAGTATTGATAGGCGTGTGGGTGGGGTGGGGGGTGTATGTGCACAGTAGCATATTACTTGCTAAATCTGTTTTCTCCTGGCCATTCTCTGTATGGATCTCCCTAGTCTCTGCCAAAGCATTGACAGTCTCACCACATACTGCAAATACCTAAGGGCAAGAACTGATTCTCAAAGGAAGGCAAATGTTTCAAACTCATTCATGGCTAATGTGTCTTGTGGTCTCTGGCTGTCTGGAGACTATGTTTACAGAGCTTGAAAGAACTGATGGGATGAAAGAAACTTTTAAAGAATCTTTGAGGAATACTTGACAGTGTCCATTAAAATTTTATTGATCCAGACCACTTTTTCAATGAGTATTATACTTTAAAAAGTGTAATAAGAATATAAATACATATAGCATAATAGGAATATAAATATATAAATATAAAAAGGAATATGCTGTAAAAATATTTTCAGTGAGTTTTTCTATTTAATAACCAAAGATAAGATTATTAAAAAATAACCTGGTAGGGGTTTTTAAATACTCTTTGGAGGAAATGAAGGCTAAATTAAGGAGCTTAGAATTTTCAAAGTCAAGGCCATTTCCTTTAATTAAAGGCAAATTTTGCATCCTTAGTATGACCCCAGAACAGCTATCTGGAAGAAATTTTAAATGTAATTACTTTGGTGTTATTCATAATTCCCAATGTCACAGAAAATAAATCATGATTATAGACTGTGTTGATCTTGTTCTGTTTCTGATTATACTTTGTATTTTACATAACCTTGCAGGTTTCCAGTGATTGGGATACATTTATTTTTTTAATACAACAAGTGATAATTCCATTGGGGTACTGTTATTTCTTAAGATGTGTCTTAGTATGTAGTTCAGGTTGGCCTAGAACTCTCAATTCTCCTGCCTTAGCCTCCTAAATGCAGGGATTACAAGCACAGGGCATGTCACCACGCTTGTCTGAGCTGGTGGTTTTGTATCACTGTGTAAATAGGAACTGTTCCCAAGTCAAAGGTTCGGATCGATTTCAAGACCATCTTTTCTTTCTTCTCATGCTGACATATTTACATTATGTAAACCTTCAACAGCAGGGCAACAATGAGATACTCAGGGGTCTGGTACTAAGACTGCTGTAGTTTAAGTAGACGTGAAGCCTGAACTTCATACCTATGAACTTCTGAAGGGAGTGGGGGCACAGCTCTCAAAACAGGATAAGACTGTTACATACAATCACTTCAGAAGCGGGGTATGGGAATACACGCTGGCAGTGCTAGCACTTGGAAGGCTGAGGCAGGAGGTTCATGTGTTCCAGGCCAGTCTGGGCTACACAGCTGGACCCTGTCTAAAAAAGGTTGGTGGGTTTTTTTCCCCCCATGATAACGAGCTTCCTACTGAATAACAGCTATCTCCAAACACTGCTGCCCCCATAGGAAAAGACAGTGAATTATTAGAAACTTCCAACTTTGACTTTTCCTAGATAAAATCTAAACAGTAGGATGAAAGTTACACAGCTTTATACACACATTAAAACAAACTACCGTATTTAACATTTTGCTCTGTTAAAATGCCAATATTCCTATCATCCTAACTTTTCTACAGAATAAGTCTGCTAAAATAATTTGTAAAGATGCTATTTGGTGTAAGTATTTATGTTTTTAAAACACAATCATCCCATCTTTGTAGATCCTCAACACTGATGGAAAACGAATGGCCACTTCCCTCCAAATGACAGCTCCAACATAAACCAGTATTTAGACTTTCCAAGGGTCTGCTTCAAAATTCAGGCTGTTTAAAGAACAGCAATAATGAGAAAGTGTAAATAGCTTTGGAACTATCAAATAGGGCAGGGGCCGGGAACAAAGGTATCAGTTACCTTCCGTTCTGTGTAGCTGTAATATCACAGTATGGGGGAGAATTCCTCCAGGACATCCATAGCACTGCTAGAAACTAAGTAGCTGATCTGAAGTTTTAAGAGGTTTGATTTAGTCAGTGAACCTAGAAAGCAGAACCTATTTCTTTATAAAGCAGGTGGTCTCTAAGTTCTTTTGTTCAAAAGGAGTTGTGATTTCCTAATCTCCATCCCTAAATTCCAGTGCATATTTAACATGAAAACAAATGATATTTTTCAGGTTTTGTTTTAAGTTGTGTTCATTTGGGAGCTGATTTTGAAAGATCTGTCCATCTTAACTGCACAATATTGTAATAAATGGCATCCAGATCGGAATGAATTTTAGTCAAACTTGGGCTGCTGTGTGCCAAACTTCAGTATATGCTTCGAAAGGCTATATGCAACAATAATTCTGTTAAAAAAAAAAGGAAAATAAAAACACATGGGTGAGGTTGAAGATGTAGTTCTGTTGGTACGGTGTTTGTCGGGCATGATTGAAGCCTGGATTCCATCCCCACCTGGTCCTGGAGAGGTAGAGGAAGAATGCTTATAGTTCAAGGTCATCCCCAGCATGAAGCTAGACCGGGCTACAAGTGACCCCACCTCAAATGCATAGATAGAGTCTTTCTAGATATCTCCCATAGCTCTATAGCAGGTTAGAAAAAGTATAGCATATCAGAATTTTCACAAAAGAATCTGAGAATCTAGACTTGGATTTCATGAATATGACGCATTTAGTTCTTAATATTTAGGGAGTTTTTATTTCAGCAACACAGAAATCTCTAGTGAAATAAAGTGATACTTCTCACATAGAATTATGACTTCCTTCTCTGTCACCAGAAATACATGGGAAGGGAGGCAGAATTAAGTTAACTCTTGAGAATACAGAAGCTGATACTCCCAGATGGGCTAAAACCTCTGTATGAATTAAATTGTAGCAATATAGCTCAGTTTAGGCCATTTATTAAAATTATGGACTTTCTAATAAAATGTAGTGACATGAGAAAAAACAGGGAATTGACTAGGGCAGAGTAGGCATTTAAAAGTGATCTGCATGTTTAAAATTTTTTTTCTGATTATAGCACACCAGTTTTTGTTGTTGTTTGGTTTGGTAGAAAAAGAAACCCAGTGCTATCATGATGCCAAATTTTGTCTTTTTACACTTTCAAAGTTGGTCTAAACAGAAGGCAGATTATTAATAGTCATTGGAGGTGCATTTGGCCTTTTATAAACAACACAGGCACACAGACCGCTTTTACTGTGCTCTGTACGTTCTGATTACTAGGCATAACGAATACCCTGAATCACCAGGTTTCATGTAATGAGTTTTAACTTTTAAAAAGAAGCCTACATTGTAATTAATAATCTTTAAAATGAGGGCTATACAGGTTCACATTAAAAAAACAACAAATTTTCCATTGTTGAGCACAGTATTTTGTTGTATCAGAGCTGGGGCTTACAATAAAATCCAGTTACAGACAAACATTCATAAGCCTGTCAACCGAGGTGTTTTCTGCTGGTTCTGAACCTTTAAGGCTCCCTGTTAACTACCATGGCACTCAGGGCTCGGCCTATAGAAAAGAATTAAGGTCCTCCCCCCTTTAATCCATGAGAACCATAGCCTTTATTTCTACTTTAGGGTGAAACGATGTCTTTTTTTAAAAAACAAATCCTACCATTCTGCTGTTTTGCATTTGAAACACGGCCCAAGTGTTCTGAGCAAGTGAAGTGTACAAATTGTATAAGCTTTTATGTAAGCAATCACATAACGGGATTTCAGTGGGCTGGAGAAACTTTTAATTGGATCCCTTTAATATCCTCTAACTCTGAAGCGGCTTAATTCCAAAAGGTGACATAGCCTCCTACAATCCTTTTCAATTAAATATGATTATGTTTATTATCAGAAAATGTACTTTGCCAAAGCATAAGCCATTCGTCTCCCTCGGCTTTGTTTTCAAAGAAAGTAATCAAGTTTTGACACCTGATTCACTAATGTACGCTCTTCCTGGAGAGAAAAATGAATCCTGTCCTATAATGTATACGGATTATATGGCAAACACTGTTAAGTCGCATCCAGGTACGTTTAGGCCACGCCCTTTAATGTATATCAGGGATATAGCATTCTCTACATTCTTTTTAACTTTTTCCTTTCTTAATGGCAACTCCATCGCTTTTTCCTAAAGTATTTTCCCAGCGATTTGCCCAAAGGTCTCCAGGACAGCAAAGATTACAGTTCTGCTGATTCAAAGTACTTTAAGGAGCCAAGTGAAACTTAAGGAGAAAATTAGGAATTTCACCTGCCGATTCGGGTGGTCTCTCCGGTGCCCATAACTAGGACGCTTCAAAATACACCCTCAATAAGGTCCAACTCCCCAATATCCTACTTAAGGGGTTCTGGCTTCTATCTTTAGGCTAACAAGAGGACCAGAAGCGAAATACGAGACTCCACGTGAAACCAAACCGCGGGGCGGTCAGCACCGACCGGCAGCCGCGCAGCCCAAGGCGTCCGTCTAACTCCACCGGAGTGGCGATTTCAAACCCGGCCCGGAGAGGGAGGGATCAGGAACGTAATGTGACGGGCTCAAGTGACAGCGTCCTCTCTCCCGCCCAACCCTCCCGGTGGCAGCGCGGCGCTGGCCCCCGCCAGGTACAAGCACGCCTAACTCTCCGGGCGCGGACACCCCGCTCGCCCGGGGAACCGGGTCGGAGCAGACCCTCCAGCCCCAGTCGGGGACCCACGCACTCTTCCCGGGGGGTGGGGACGGGAGGGGTGGGAACCTCCCCAGGTGTTTTGGCGGGTTTCCGGACACATGCGCCTCGCGTCCTCCCCACGTCCCCGCAGCCCGGGAGAGTCCACCGCGCCAGCCCGCGGGACCGCCCGCGACGTCGCTCACCTCCGTCCCCGTAGGTCTCCACGCCGTACCCGTCCTGCAGCCCGTTACTCCAGGTACCCTCGTAGCGGGCGGGGGTGCACAGGCTCTGCCGGACCCCGTAGCGCCCCTTGAAACCATGTGACCACTCCCCCCGGTACATCCACTTGCCCTTCGTCTCCACCCCCAGCCCGTGCCGCTTGCCCTGCGCCCAGTAGCCCTGGTAGGTGTTGCCGCTGGGCCAGGTGTAGCCTCCGACCACCTCGAAGCCGTGCGACCAGGAGCCAGAGTACTCGCCCTGGCCCTTGGGCCCCGTGCAGATGCCATGCCCGTGCGCCTTGCCCTCCTCCCAGCCGCCGCAGTAGGTGCCGCCATCGTCGAAGTCGAACCTTCCGCCCGTCATTCGGGGGGCAGCCCCGGCGCGCTCCCCGCGGGGGCACGGACGCGGGCAGAGCTGGGCACGGCAGGGTGTAGCCTAGGGGTGGGGGCCCGGCGGCGGGCGAGCTCACGACTGCGCCCCGGGCAGCTCGCACCGCCGATCGGCTCCAGTCCGACGCCGCCCCCGTCCTCCCCTCCTCTTTCGCCGCCGCCGCCGCCGCCACCGCCGCCTCTCGCCTCCTCCTCCTCCTCCTCCGCCGCCCCGGCCAGCGCCGCGCGCGAGAGGACAGCCCAGGCTCCCGAGCGGACCTTCAGCTGCTCCCGCCCGCCCACGTGAGCCGGGCGCCGCCCCGCGCCCGCCCCTCGTCCCCTCCCTGGGCGCCGAGGCCCGGCCCCACGGCGCGCCCGCCCGCCGGGGCCCTGCCCCCAGCCCCTCCGGAGCCGCGCTTCCCCGCCGGCGGGCGGGCGCGCGAGCTCTGGGCGCACGTGTGTCCGCGCGGTGGGACGTGGGTGGGAGGGCGAGTGTACCCTGGGACCGTGCGACCGTCAAGTCAAGCCTGTGCGGATGAAAGCGCGCGGCTGCCGGTGTTGCGGGGCAAGCTGTCGGCTGGCTGCGGGAACCTCCCGTGTTTGGGGCTTTTCAATTGTGTGAAATCTCTGTAAGTGAGGCCACGTGTATGATGAGGGGAAAACTCGTATGTGTGTGTGTGTCTGCATGGGGTTTGTAGTTGCATTTTTTTTTCTTCTCTCCAGCATTCCAACTTGGGCACTGTTGGATTTGCCATGCGCAGCTGTCATCATGAATTAATATGCTCCAAATATATGTCTGCATGTGATAAATCTGTGGCAGCCTAGATATAATTGTGCAGAATGTTCTTTTACACCTACCCATCCCAGGGCACATGTGTTTGCATTTCTTTAATGAAGATTCCGAGACTGAGCAATGCAGTTTGAAAAAAGCATGGTGTAAGTTGGTTAGCTTTTATTTGTAACGATGATAGATTTTATATCTGGCATTGCAGGAGCATAGGGCGTTTCATTGTCTTTTACATTCCAGCCCGTTCCCTCAGCTGTTCTCAACTTCAGAAAGTCTTCAGCCTGGAGCTGTGTACCCAAACAGGCTCAGTCTGTGTGTATTGTTGGAGTGCCTGAAATGTACCCATGGGACCTCTCCACTGGTGCCCACGGTTTAAGAAAGTAAACAGAAGTTTTCAAAGAGGAATATGGTAAGTCAAACACCCCTCTAAAGGTACAGGAAGCTGTGACCCACTAAACCTGGGGCAGGTGACAACTGGTCCACTCTCCTGCAGTTCCCCTGCCGTGTTGAACTCACTTCAGAAACCTCTAGACCTTTCAACCCCTTTCACCATTTTCTGAATGCAAGTACCGGGATTGCCCTTCCCTGTGTTAGGTAATGACCTGGCATACAGTGATGGCAGTACCCGGTGAAGAATTCAACAATTAGCAACGGGATAATTGAGTCCCTTAGTAAAGAGGCATGGGTCCCCCCTCCCCTTCACAGTGTCAGTGAGGGATGTCTTCTCTGGTCACAAGCTGGGGTGTGTGTGTGTGTGTCTCAGATGGCCTCTCAGAGAAACGGCTCTGCTGAGCATTCTGCTGTTCCTCAGGCTGAGAGGCCGCGCCTGACCAGGTGAACACAGGACTCTCTCACTAGGTAGTTGATGATCAGATCAAAATGCAAGGGAAGGTGGCAAAAGGAAGGCAAGGGAAAAAACGAGCCCTTCCTGAAGAGAATTACCTCTCTCAGCATTGGGGCTGGCCTCTCCTGCCCATCTGTCTGAAAGACCAACAGAAAAAAATCTCTGTTTACACCGGAGCCAAATCACCAAAGAGAATTAGAAACCCTCCTCCATGGTGCTGCTTGCAGATGCCAGGAATAGTGCTTACCCTAGTGGCCTGAAATAATTAGGCATCTTGCTCAGCATCTTGTCCTGGACTGGGGATTGATTTAGGCCACTGGGAAAATGAGGACCCAGGGCTTTGCAGCTGAGCTACAACTCCGCTTCTCTAGTGTGAGAAACACCAGAATAGGGCCTCACATAGAGCGACCGAGTCTCACCTGTCCTGAGGTTCAGTTTCATAGGAAAGGAAGTAGGGTTGCTCCAACTGATACTTCTTTTCTTGGTCTTTCAGTGGGCTTTCTACCCGGAGTAAGCATTTATGTTTAGGGTTTTGTTGGGTTTTGGTTTAGGACCTGCCTCTATGTGTTAGGATCCATGTGTTCTTTACAAGCTTTTAATTTTTTTTTCTTGAAGTATTTTTCCCCCCAATTCTCAAAAATGAAGACTTTCATGGAGTGTCCTGGACATCACAATTTCCTGGCTTCTGCTATAACTATGTAGTCATTCCTGGTGCAAGGAAAATAATGGTAAATCCACACAGACACTGCTGTTTACTTCTTAATCTGTTCTTATAGCTCACCTTCCTTGCAAAGAACTTTCAGTAAAAAGGAGAACCTTGTACTGGATATGAGCTGTTAAATGTCAATGAAACTTACTCCTAACCTAACTGCCACTGATTCTCGTGGCAGAAGGTTAGTATCGAACTTTTACTGTCTTCCAAACAAGTTTTCCACCAACTAAGTGCATAAGCCATGTTTCCATTTTCCTGCTTGCACCACAGAGAAATGTCTCCGCCTCACACAGTTGTGTAGAGAAAGTGTTGGGGTTCGGCGGCCCTGGGAGGAGAACATGGAGGGAGGGGAGGAGGTGCAGAGCAAGCATTTCCTAGCAGGGGAATACTGTTGCAGTTTCGGAGTCAGGGTTAGTAATGTCCTTATGTTCCCTCTCTCTGAACCTTTGCCCTGGATAAGGGGGAGTTGAATTTAGCTTTAAGAGCGGATTAGTAAGAAGAGAATGCTTGCGAATGTTGGTGTGACAGGTGGGATGGGGGAGGTCCGTGAAGCCCAGGGGCCAGCAACTACCACTCTTAGTGGCCGCTTTTCCTTTGTGCACAAAGCCCAGCCGGTACAAGTTTCTCTTCTAAAAATTACATAGAACAAACCGTAAGCTGCTTTGGTGCATGTCCAGTTCCCATGTTGGTAAGGATGTTTTGCTTAGACTTCAATAATGCGGTTACTTTTTACTTAGTGATTTGATTTCATTAGAATTATTGAGAATTTTAATAAAAAGTTTACAGATGACAAAAGGGTTAAAGTATGGGTGTTTATTGTTTAAGGAACGTGAATTAAAGTGTATAAAGAAGTATATAGAATTAAAATGACTTATGTAATTCAAAGTGAATGTTAGCTTGATTTATAAGTCAAGCAATACAAATGATTTATTTGTAATAAGTGTTCCTAAAAATTTAAATTGTGCTTAATAAATAAAAAGAATTAGGAAATATAAGCTTCCAAACAGCATGAAATCAGAAGAATTCCAAAGTTAATGATCTTCAGATTTTTCAGGGCAATTACTGCATACCAGAACTTGTGCTAAGGCTTTTCAAATCTTATTTTTTCTATAATGGGATTGAACCCAGGGCTTGAGGTATGCTAGGCAAGCACTCTACCACTGAATATATCCCCAGCCCCTTTTTATTATTTTTTTGAAAGAAGGTATTGCTGTTTTGGTCTGGAACATTCAATTCTCCTGCTCTACCCCCGACCCCAAGTTTGTGGATTACAAGCTTGCCAGCACCGTGGTATCAGGTTATCTTTTATTACTGGCTTTTATTGGAGAGCACATTGAGAGCCCTCAGTGGGAGGAGGAAACAGCTTGGATGTGAAGTAAGGGTGGATGGTAGAGATGATTTTTACTTTTTGTTTGGCTAAATGATTTATGGTGCTACTATCTAGAATTTGAAGGCCAAATTAAAGATGAGTGAATTAGAGGAGTTGGTTGTGGAAGGATGTGCTCCTGTAGGAAAGGATAATCCCCAAATCATGCAAATACACCCACAGCTGAGGTAGCTCACAGGCAGGGTGCTTGCCTAGCATAGAGCCTCTGGGTTTAATCTCCTACATTGCAAACAAAACCAAAAACATACAGCAGGGAGATTAGCAGGCAGTTGAGTAATAGGGGCAAGAAAACCTGAAAGTATTTTTTTTTCTCCTTTGAGTAGCGCTTCCTTTTGAGACGTGAGCTATCTGCTCATGACGTAGAGGTCCACTCCTGTCAGCATCTGTAGGTCAGTGCTCTGTGCTCTTAGAAGACAGACGGCTGGCAGTTCCACTCCCCATCACCTGTGTGCTATCCCTTGCCGTCATCCCACACAGCATCGCCCTGGCCTCTGGGTAGCGTTCACGTTTTGCAGCATTGTGACCTTCATCTTAAGAGTGCACATTTTCAGATACAGCCTTAGACCCAACGTTGACCTAGATGTAGGCCAGTTCTGGTAACGGGAACTTGACAGTTTCCCTCAGCGACAGACAGCATTCCTTTATCTTTTCCACTATTCCTTAAGAAACCAGGGACTCTTATCAAAGTCCCCCCTCCTTCAGTCCTGTCTGCCTAGAAGCCTTTGTAATCCTTTCTGCCTCACTGTTCCTGGCACTCAGTTACCTTTTCACAGTGGCTTCTGGTACATCTGTCTGTCCATTCTTAATCCTGAGCCCCATTTTCTATCCCTTGTTCTTGGAAGCCCCTTGTGGGCACAGTCACAAAATTTAATTATTGCCACCATATATTGTGACTGTGAGCCTTATGCAGAAACCCCATGCCTGGTGGCAGATACATTCCTGGCCAGCTCCAGATGTTTGTCACTGATCTCCAGCCCCTGTCAGCCACAGCCCTCTCCAGTTAAACAGAAGATCTGCCTTTTCCTTTACAAAGGAAAAGGGTGTCGTGTCTTTAGGACGTAGCACCTGTGTTAGCTTTCTGTTGGTTTTGGCCCGTGCTTGCTTGGCCCCTCTTGCCTTTGTGCCCGTGGTGAGGAAGTCCATGATAGGAGAGGTAAACCTGCGACCCATGGGAAGCTGAGAAGGAAAGAGAGAAGGGCCAGGATCTCATTATCCCCCTTTGGGGGCCTAGCTGACTCCCCATACATCACCTAGACACAGAAAAGTGATTCTTTTCCTTCTCCAAGACATCAGCCAATTTCCTTTCTCCTCTCCATTTGCTCTAGCTTCTTCCTCTTAGCCAGAAGACATTTCTCTGGTCCCCTCCATATCTTGGATTTTTCCTCTTCAAGTCCTCTGTGTCTTTTCTCAAAACTTCCGACTTTCTTGGAGTGTGCCACAGTTCAGTGTTTATCTCTCTGCCCACCTGTGATTCTCATATCAC